TCCAAGACGGGTGAGACCGATGAACAGGAGAACGGAACCAGCAATGACGGAAAGAGCCCTGGCGATGTCCACGGCTTCGATCTCCGGCTGTTTATCCTGGATCTTGGTGACAATGTTGCCAACGATGGTGCTCATAACTGCAACAGTACCGATGGTGATGTCCTTGGATGTAGCGAAAGCCCAGTAGAGAATGAAACCGACGAAACTTGTGTAGAGTCCATACTCAGGAGGCAGCTTCGCCAGCAAAGCGTATGCCATACCTTGAGGGATGACAACAAATCCAACGGTGCATCCAGCGATGAAGTCTCCGAATAGCCATGTCAGGTTGTAGTGGAAGATCCAGTCCCAGAAGGGAAACAGACTTCTTAGGTAGCGTTTGGTGGCCGTTGCTGACGGTTTGAACCGAGAAATCCATTCTTTTGCGGTCGGTTCGCGCTCGACGTCTACGCTTCGTTAGCAACTGCCGGATGACAGATTAGATGATATTTACATGTTTCCACGGATGATATTGATGCAGCGCCAGAGACCTCGGGCTCTTTTCGGTAGTCAAGGTTGATTCCAAGCACCTTGGCTGCTTTCTGACCAGCAGATGCCATGTTGGCGGACGTCGTCAGCGAGGCTGAGTTCTGGGCTCCTAGAATTCCGTGGATAACAGATTGAAACAAATGAGGTAGGGCTCCGGTATCGTGGAGTTTTCCAGAGTCGAGCGTGTTGATTTAGGGCAGTATCTGTAAGACCCGACGTTTTGCCAGACCGAGGGAAGATGGATGCACCCTTATAGCACTGTGTGTGAACGAGCCCCCCGTGGAGAAACAGTGGGAGAAAGTCAACTTCGGTCAAATAGAAATGCCACATAGTTCCAGATCCAAGGCGGAGGCACAGCCGCATGTGCTATGGCCCGGCGCCATCCCAAGGTTTTGACGTCTAACAAGACGGCACATTGCGCTTGGCGTGGGCAGAGTGTGCGAGAGAAGCTTTCCGTGCAAATCACAGTGCAGCAATGCTATCACTGCACAGCGCCCGATCATGACGTGCTTTGCATTGAGCAGAATCCTACTTATTGGCAGATGGAAGACGAGGAATTTGGCAGGCTGGGCTCAGCGAAGCGTTGAGCTTGTTAGGTCTGGGCTTCCGAAGGCGGAGATATGGCGTTCGAGGCGTTGGCGGATCGCGTGGGAGATCTGGGGTCGCTGGTTGGCCATGGCTAGCGTACACCTACAATGTCCCAGACATCATCCGTGCAACTGATGTGTGCAATGACCTCTTTGTTTAGCTATCCTCAAATTCATTAACAGGACGTTAACAACGAGAGGAAGAAAGGTGGGCATGCCCAGCCTTGCAGCATCTCAACAGACTGACATCTGGTGTGAACTGTTCGCGTAACGTTCGCAATTGATGCCAAGGATTGCGACATCTCGGTTGGCGGCATTGGCGACGAATGCGATGCTTACCTGGACAGGTCTACTGCAGCCGCACTAGCGCCCGAAAGACGGCGCTGTAAGTAGGTTGTCACACAGGCCGGCAGGTGTGAAAGGCTAATGCACTGAAACAAATGGCGAGCACGCAAGCGCGCCCTTTTGTGTATCTTCAAAATATTCGGGATGTTCCGCCTGAGTGTGGAAATCACTCCAACGCTTCGATGGAAACGTGAGCCTAGAAGGTAGTGTTTGCGGCAAAAACGGAATAAGGTGCAATATCATTGCTGAGCTCTTGGACGTGTTTCAGAACTCAAGGGTCTCCGCGGGGCCACATTCGGGATCGGTAATCTGGGTAAGGTTTCTAGCCTCATTTGCAGCGTGACAAGCGCCAGATTCATCTCCAGATGCTGTACAACCAGGGTATCGGGTTGAGATGACCCATGCGCGGAGTTTTCAGCTGAACTCTTACCTGAATCGCTTAGGCTATGCAAATCGACTTCGCGGTAGCACACCATCTGAGACATGTATCACTCACGCGGGCCAGCGAATCGACACGCTCTTCAAGAAGAAGCAACTGCTCAGCTACGCACGTGCTCACGACCTAGCGGAATTCCACTACAACCAGCCTGCGTCGCCTCTTCAGCCCGCGTGCTACGACGTGTAATTGTCCTAGATGCTTGGATGCCATTGGGTTGCCACGCTACAATGCATGCAACCAGAACCAACGTCGTGGGTTCCAGCAAGCACAAACCGAGGGCCTGGAGCAGTACGGAGTCTGCATGATCTGCGGGTATTCCGACGCAGCATGAGGCCACATCCTCGTGAGGGTTGATGAAGCGAGTGGCGGTTCACCCCGAACGTCTGGCCTTCCCAGCCCTATGCACCTTCGCGTGTATATCGCCGAGGAGGGTCTGGAGGTCGTAAGAGCGCGGGGTGGTCGACTACGACGGCGTAATTGTTGTCCTTCATGGGGGTTCATCTCGGTCACTACCTAGTCAGGCAATGGATGTCCGCAAAGAGGGAGGACTCGGAAGTATCGTGGTATTCGTTCGAGAGGAGCCGTTGTGGTAGTGAAAGAGGCGAATCATGGCGTGCTTGAGCTTGATAGCACACTTGAAGATCGATAATGCGTGATCTGGCGAATGTCAGTACTTCTGCGGATTAAGGCGTCTTCTACTATCAATGCCGCATGCTAGATGCCGCGCAAATGTAGCTCCACGCGAACTTATGAATCGTGCAAGATCTGGCTCCGTCGTGAATAGACATAATGATGGTGTCCCGTAGTTGATGCGGGAGAAGCAGTCTCGCGTGAAGCCCCCGATGGAGCGCTGAAGCGATCACGAGATTACGTCATCGACCCTTCGCGAAAACCAACACGCGACGCTGACCTCAGCTTCTAACACGCGACAATAGTTGTGTCCTGTTGATAGGGCAAAACACAGGTAGGTCTCGATTTACAGCTGACTGATATCTTAAACTCCGTTTCTCGTCGTTCGGTGAAGCCTTAACGCCATGGAAAGTCGCGTCTCGCTCTTGATGCGTCCACGGGTGCCGATAAAAGCGGAGTGAGGGGTCAAAGGAAGCAACGATGACCTCAGCCCTGACCGGGGCGTAATGCGACATACAAGGTAACGAGCGAGGTATATATCCTCTGGAATAGAGCTATGGTGGAAGCGCGACAACTATACACAGGTGTGACGACTCGTGCGATGGCTTCCAAAACCCTTCTTCTTCGGGGCGGTGTCGCTCTGATTCATGATGCAAACAACCACGTCGTTCCCACCAAATCCGATGTTCTTGTCGAAGACGGCAAGATCACAAGAATCGCGCATGAGATCAAACCATCTGAAGGAACTGAGACTATCGACTGCACCGACAAGGTCATCAGCCCAGGCTTCATCGATACACATCGTCATGCTTGGCAAACTCAGCTCAAAGGCAGGCATGCCAACGAACAACTACTGGATTACATGGTGACTGGTATGGCTTCGCTTGGAACCACAGGACCTCCTTTTGACAAAGAGCAGGCAACTCGCAGTCTTTCCAGTACTCGCCCGAAGATGTCTTCTACGGCCAGCTCGCCGGTTTACTGGAAAGCATTGCAGCTGGCACAACCACGGTAGTTGAGCACGCACACATCACCCGCTCGCCCGAACACGCCAAAGCTGCCATAGCGGGTACTGCATCTTCTGGCATGCGCTCCGTATTCTGCTACACTCCAATCTCGCTCGTCAAACAATTCAACCCTCTCACTTGGCATCCAAACCTTCTCGAAGACTGGGTCATGAATACTTTTGAGGAGCTCGCCGACAATGGACCTTTTGGAGACGGAAGGGTAACGCTGGGCTTCGCGTTCGACTTTTGGTTTCTACCTGCGGATATGATCAGAGGCATATTTGCCAGAGTGAACGCGAAAAGCGTCAAGACGATTACCACCCACGGCTCTGTATCGCTAGGAGGTAGTGTGATACAAGCAGCATCGGAGCATGGTCTACTTGATGAGAAGATCATCGTATCGCATGGTGGCACGATTGTCAAGGCTGATGCTGAACTCTTGAAGGCCGCTGGTGCATTCGTGAGTTCCACCCCGAGTTCAGAGCTCCAGATGGCCATGGGGAGATCCTACTGCTTCGACGCCTCATTCCCGGATGGAGGCGTAAGCGGAGATTCGATCGGACTGCAGGACAACGCTGCGCTTGGCGTTGATTGCCATTCCGCCACTGCTGGTTCCATTATCGCTGAAGCAAAACTCGGCCTCGGTAATGCGCGAAACCACTACAACGAACACATTATGAAACAAGATAAGATTCCACGAGCTCTTCCTGATAGCCTCAGTGTCGAGGCCGCCTTCAATCTTGCAACGATCAAGGGCGCAGAGGCTGCGAACATGAGCAGCGAGATTGGGCGCATCGCGGAAGGGTACAAGGCAGATCTGGTCATTTTCGATGCTCTGAGTCCTAGTCTGGTCGGTGCCGCGCAACACGATCCAGTCGCCGCCATCATCCTACACTCCAGCCCGGCCGATATCGAGACTGTCATTGTCGATGGTATCGTAAGGAAGAAGGATGGGAAGTTACTGCCAGTCCATGTAGACAGCGGTGCGAAAGAGATGATTGGTCACGATACCCTCGACTGGCCCAGTATTGCCAAAGAGATTGTCTCGGGCAGGGAGAAGATGCAGAAGGAGATTGACAAGATCGACTTCGACGAAGCATACGAGGCAATTCTCAAAATGTTTCATGTTGACAAGACGAAGTTGGTAGACTGAGATCTGTAGAGTGTTGGTGGGATCGAGAAACGCTGCGTCGATGCTCAAACCCTGGTTGAAGTCGCTGATCGTCATTATTTTATTGTTACACATCGTACTATGTATGGTAATCGGCCCTGCAAAGCGAGCGCGACACGTTGCATTATACTTGATTTGGTTAGCCGGTCAGCACTTCCTTCACCACAACCTCGGATGGACCAGAACTATTTAGACTTATTCTGACTGCGCAAAAACGCATTTGATTGCGTTCAATCATTACTCCAATCGATTTTCATTCTCGTTCGGCAGTCGATCCTCAGTGTACCTTTCGCATCATGGGCCAGCACACTACATCGAAGGATCGTAAGCATCTGCAGCTACGCAAGCAAACCGCAGACCTCCAGAACAGCAAGAAAGATCGAAAGGCGTCTCGGATGGCTATCAAAAGGCGCAAGGTTTCCGGTACCTCAAGTGCACGCATTGCAGAGCGACAAGACGACCCATCTACCCCAACACCATCAGACGCAACGAAGAATGTACTTCTACACTCTCACGAACATGATTGCAAATACAAAGTCTGCTTAGATGCGCTGATCAGACACATGAGATGTGAAGACAAGGTCAAGCGGATCGAAGCACAGCTATCCCGACGAGTGCGACAGGGCGACGAAATCGCCACACGACTAAACTGCACGGCTTACATTCTGTACTCGAAATCCAAGTTCTTGGGTCAGACGGATTCTGGAAAGCGTATTCAGCACACTGCATTCCACGAGTACGAGCAGGATCGGTTGGTATTCGAGAGATTCGATAGACGTGGCAAGGCCATCAGAGTAACGGCGAGCTTATGGTTATCCTGGGATGGACCTTGCGACAGATGGCAGGGCACTTTCGAAGGGCTGTGGCCGAACGACCAGATACCCGCGCTTGAGGAGGTGCCAGTCACCTTCTACAACGTCTCTACCAAGCAGAATGAGGCCAAGCTTCGGCCCTTGCGAGTACACTTGGTTTTTCTCCGCGACGGGTGCTTGAGGCTGAAAATATATCTCTCTGATGCCGTCAGGAGCGAGGAATTTAGTGTCAAGGAACTCTTCGCCATTGAAGCGTATGAGGCGTATGAGGCCGATGAAGGAGAAGGCGGACCAATTCTGTATATCGTAGACGACGAGCTTGAGACCACTGAATCTAGCGGCGAAGACGCCACAGACACCGAGAGCGATCCTTCGGCCGGCGATTATGAAATGACGCGACAGAAACACGCAAAGAGAGAAGCCCGTGGCAAAGCCATGGAAGAATGGATTGAGGAAAGAATAGCTTCGGGGGTCGAAAAAGACAACGAAAGCCCACAAGTACGCTGGACAGGCCTGGAAGATTATGTCGACATCACTTGGGACCTCTACTCCACTGCATACCTCGACATGCTCCTTCTGGGAGGCAAGGAATTTGACGATAAAGTCTTCGACGGCTACAGCTGCGGCGAGTTCAGCTTTGATTGGGACGACTACGACTCGCGTTACACGGCCACTTTGGAACTTCGGCCGTCAAACAAATCATGGACAGGCGATTTTGAGTGGGATATGAAGAAAGGCGCGATGAACTCCGGTCTACTCAATGCCAGTATATCCGACGAGGACTTTGGGGAAGATGTGGGGTTTCGAATCTGCTTCGTCAAGGGTGGGAAAATGAAGATACGCATCCCGGCATACGAGATTGGTGGACGCACTGAAGACGGTTTCATTGACTTCTACGCCGTCTATCAGGATCCGTCGGACGCTTGCACTGTGTATCAACGTCACTGTGAAAACATGTCTCGTCGGCTGGAATACGACCCGCCTACTTCAGCTGAAGAAGATAGTCCTAGCGAATGCTCGGACTATTCGGACTATTCGGAGGACTCCGAGACCTTTGATGTATCGAACAATTGGTAGTAATAGTTTGTATGATACGTTGTTTGTCGAAATCAATTAATGCTGTTTCTTCAACGCGGCGGGTCAAAGACGGCTAGTGCAGCCCCTTTCCGTAACCATGGACACCGTTCCGAGCCTTTCCTGGCCACACAAAACGCGTCGCAACATCACATTTCGAATTACACTTCTGTTACAGCTACGCCACATTACCCGATCGACATACATTCTGACGTCAACATGGCATTCCCAAATGGTGAGTCTGCCGAGGTACCGTTCCAAGGTTGTCTTAGCGCGAAACTGACCACGACGGTAACGATAGGAAAATTGTTTGGGACCCCAGGGTTCATGGACTTCGCAACCAGGGCTGCAAACGCGAGCTTAGCATCCGCCATAGAAAGTACGTTCGCTGTTCTACGTGCGACAGGAAGAGTGCTCACCTCTCACAGTAATCGATGGGTACTGGTTTGAAACGGGGGAAAACCGAGATCACAATCTCCACCACCTGAACTGCTACAAAGATGCCCTAACGTACTATTTCAACGTGGTACAGTCCTTCGATGGGCAATTCGAGAATCTGAATTTCCAACTATTCATCGCCGGAATGTTCAAAGCACTACGAGATGAGGGTTTTGACCACGCTACCCTTGTTAAGCTTCGGGGACATGAGCACGCGCGTATCCTTGACACAATTGCTCGTGCAAAAGAAGGTCTTTCAGATACGGAGGAAGACGAGCCTGATTGGGAACCCCATCCCGAGCCAGACGATTCCTTGGACGATGACAAAGAGCGGGGTTTCTGGGACGAGCTCCCAAGAGACGGAGAAAGCGACTCGGACATGCTGGGCTGGAGTTCTTCGGCGAACTCCAACGCGCCCGAACGGCCGAATGCTTTGAGAATAAAGAAAGCAATCGGGTTCAGAAAACACCAAGACTACATCGCCAAGGGAAGAGAATTGACTCATTGGCTCGACGAAGAACAAGCACAAGGCAAAGAGCATCCCGTGGGAGGTATCCACGGTAACTGGCTTCTCTACTCCAGTGTGAATATTGAAGCTCAGCAACATGCTGGCAATCAGACCGGAAAAGCAAACCTCCACCGCGGGCACTTTACGATAGACGATGGCCGTCCCCATCGTCGTAGACCCCATTTGAGGGGGAGTGATCTCTGCATCCCGTCCCCATCGAAGCTACAAAGCTTGGGTTTCAGCATAACCATGCCAGCCTTTCCGAACGTGGCATCTTCGAAGATGTACATAATTACCGCTACCAAAATGTGTAGAAGTACAGCTACCAGTCTGATGCCAGGGGGAGCCATACAGTACAAGTTTGGAATCCGCTTCCTAGGTAATGGCTATCTGTCTCTGCACATACCGGCATATGTGATCGGCTGCAAGGGTGATAAGCTCATCGTGTTCACCGGTGTCTCGCTCCAGAAGGAGAAGCACACTCGCGATATGGAATGGACGAAAGTGGACAGTCGATGGGTTTACCAAGGGCCATACGAGGAGAAGAATACGCCATACGAAGAGGGCGACTCTGACTCTGGTGAGGGTTTCTGTTATTACGAGGATAAGGAAATGCAGTGTAGCGATGAGAATTGTCCGAAGCATAGTCGCATGGATGAGAGGGAGTGGTAGATATAGATGAACAGACCTCGGGATTCTCTGGTGCTAGGTGGACGCCTCTGATAGTCTCCGAGAGCTCAAACCAGAGGCTCTTCGGGCAAAAGAGATGGGAAGTAATAGAACGAACGATCCTTCCCAGCAGCTGGGAATTCCAAGCTTAGTGATCGAATGGCGCGAACAGCTTTATGGACACTGCAAACTTCTCCTTCTCAGTGACGTATACATGATCAATAAGAAACTTGCTTCAATACCTGGGCAGAGGAGGCTGGGTGTAGATTAGGGTGGCTGTTCGGTCTCATTCCTCGGACGCGACGCGACGCGACACGCTAATAACCCTTGCACGCTAATCAGGGGTGAACGCTTCCTATCTCGTATCAATGGAGCGTGCGTCTAGTTCTCGGAATGGTTTCCGGGGCAGCTTCCTCGTTAGTCACCGGTAAACACACACAACAACCCAATGGCGCCAATCAAGAAGAGTCCACACGTCAAGCGTATGTGCAACAAAGTTCGGATGGGAAGGAACCGCTTCTAACGATCCACAGCAGCTACGCGCAAGCTCATACGGGACGGCAAGATCAAGGATTACTTCCGAGTCGTTCCGAAAGAGCCTCCTGTCTCTGCAAAGCCTCCTGTTCCTGCACAGCTTTCTGCTTTTGCAAAACCGTTTGTTCCTGCGAAGCCTGCTTTTCCTGCAAAGCCTCCTTCTGTCCCTGCAAAGCCCACGGATGTCAGAATCGATGAACACCAGGACCGATCAGATGTTGGTGCAGCGATGAAGGGGGTGTCGAAACCCAAACGCGAAGAGCTGCATTATGTTGGGTTCGGGCAGACCGATCTCGAGCGCATAGGAAGAGCTATGCTCGTCGAGTATCAAAACGAGACTCAGCTCGCGTGGTGGGCCACAGACTTGACCTATTTCGACCGCTTATCAGAAACTCTCCTCCTCCAGTATGAGAAGGAGATGGTCAAGCTTCTCGAGAATAGGAGAGCGACGAAATATGCCCGGTCTTGGTCCAACCCGGGATCGACACGTAAAAAGAAACAAGATGCTGATGTGGAAACGCGAATCGAGTTTGAGCGCGAACAAAAGGCTATCATCGTCCAGTATGAGACGAAGATGATCCAGCTCATCGAAAACAAGGAGGCGGTGGAAGATACTCTGGCAAGAGAAATCCACTATCAAAACGATGTTTTACGAGCTTATATCAATCTGAAAGAGAAGCTGCGTACTGGGAACGAAAACAATGGCAATGTTGCTCTGCAGGGACTACAACCGCCGGCCTACATTCGCGGAGAATATACACTTTATTCCGACGACATGTTGCGAGAAGGGATTGAGCAGAGGCCACACTGGTTCAAAGGGGATGTGTTACGCTACTGGCGCACTGGTACCTTACGACTGGGACAACGTTGGGGAGACGGTGTAGGTCCTGGCGCTGAAGTCGAACTGGCCAAAAACGCCCACCGTATAACTTTTACATACACTGCGCCGGAATGTCCGTCGACGCAGCCGCAGTCCTGTGAAGCTTATTGGCACTCTAATAATGTCACAGCAGAGGCTGAAATATGGTTCTTGGGTGGCGCATATCTGTTGTTAGACATCGCGGATATCTCTGGCGAAACAATCCATCTTCATGGAATTCTAGAGAGGGACGAGGAGGAGATGTCCGAATGGTGGCCGGGAATGCCGGAATGGAAGCCGCGATCTTATTACAAAACACCGTACAACCCTGTCTTACCCCAAGGCCGGACTCGATATCTCGCACCTACTGCGGCCACCGGACAGGACGTCCGCATTCAATGACGTATAATATACCTGTTTTCTCTAGCTACGATGATGCATGCTGAATCAATTCGAGACTCGCTTAAAAAGAGAAGGCTGGTTTTCGATATCTTGAGTCGGCCCGTGGTTTTTGGGTTTCGAGCCGTGAACGCGACTTCGACACGCTAAGATATCACAAGCGCTAGTGGAGGCTGGTCGCGTCTTCTTCATCTATAAAATGGCTGGCAGTGAACGGAAAAATGAAAAGGATCTCAGCTTCATACAATTGCCTCAAATTGCAGCTGATCCTAGAGTAAGTACGCGTTCATCTTCGCTGGAATGTGGATACTAACAACTAGATACAGCGATGTTGCACAAGGCCACCGAAAACCATTGCAAACTTGTGCCTCAACAAGCAGGACTTTCCGGAACATCCGCAGCTATGAACACTCATTACGTCGAATCAGCACGGACAATGGTTATCGCATCCGAGGAGGGTGATTCAGACCCGTGGAGCTCGAGCGACGACGAAGATTCCTCTAGTGAAAACGAGACCGAAAGAGTAGGAAACAGTGCATCTAGCACGTCCGACCCTGACGAAGACTAGGGCCTTCCACCCGCCGTCAAAAGTGCATACCATTTACATCTGAAATACGAAGATAAAGCTATGCGTGCCTTGGAACATGCTACGGCGATGATAGAAGATGAGGAGTTGACACAAGAAGCCGCTAGCGGATCAATCAACGCCCCAACCTTACCTATCTGCGGTGAATATACGTTGTATTCTCCCGTATACCTCCAGACTCACTATAAGAACTTTCCAACTCTTTGGACCGACCAGTTCGCCAGCACATGGACGGCAGGCAGTATCTGTTTCGAGAAACATTTGGGAAGTGATGGCGATCTTGGGGCTGAATGTGTAATCCCTGGGATCGAACGTCCCCTTACATTCGGGTATTTCGAGGCATTGGACCGCGTTTGCCAGGGAGAGCGCCGCCCGGAAGACGATGGTGTCATTTCTCCGAACGAGGATACAAAAGGCATATCACTGTGGTTCTGTGAGGGTCCATATCTGATCATTGCGATACCACCGGAAGAACTGGGTGGTACTGCTGATGAGTACCACTACGTGTTCGTTGGGATCCCGGATAAAACAGAAGAAGACATGGCAACTACAGGACTCGTAACGGACTATAAGAGCAGATCAGCATCACAAGACGAAGCGCCGTACACCTTCACTTTACCCCAAAGTCGCACACGATATCTTGCGCCGACGTCTTCGACTGGACCGAAACCCAGCGATCAAGGTTCATGTCAGCTATGTAGGCGTGCTGATCTCTTTTCCGGTAAGTATACATTCTAAGCTCGTGTCAGTACCTCAGCTAATGTGACAAAGTTCACAAACCAGGGCGAACAAAACTTGAGAAACCAGAAGCTGCGAGCGCGGGCCCAGCAGGTACTGTACCACCAAGCGAAAGTCCGGATGATGTCTACGAGAAGGCCCTTGCAAAACAATGGATCTACCATTTCAACTGGAAGGATTTCGCATTCTTTGTGTGGCAATCGGTTTTCCGTCGAAAAGTCTTTCCCATGGAGTCCCTGCAGGGAGAATGGGCACTGTATTCAGTTGATTAC